ACAGCAGCAACCGCTATACATGTCGGACCTTTTAGTGCTAAGCCCTCTAGACTCTAGATATCACATGCCTCTCTCCCTAAACTCCTAAACCTAAACTTATTTTCTAGGTTTACGGCAGAATCGTTTGGGGTCTAGGTACCCCGGGAGATTGAGGTTAGTTAACTCCCCTGAAATGGCATACTACTAACCTCAACCCCGGTTTCGTCAAAAGGCCTCGGCACCTAGACTGGACCAGGAACTTGCAATTTTCCACTGGCACGCCGGATGTCGAAATATCGCTGAGAATACTGGCCTCTCAGCAGCATGCAATCCGACCCTAAACTAACCCCTAGCTCCATAGCGGTTTAGGGTTTCGGGTTGAGAGATTTGCGGGTTTAGGGCTTACAGGGTTTACAGGGTTTAGGGGATTTAGGGATTACCTGTAACCATAGCTAAACCTAGCTTTAAGCCGGACTCTAGACCCTAAGCCGCCCTGAGAGGCACGGTGTAAGAGTCATTAACCCACAGACGTTTTGGCAGGCACCTCTTAGTGCAGCTTCGAAGCGCCTGTTGTGTGCGTGTGTGTGTGTGTGTGCGTGTGTATATGTGTAGGTGTGTAGGTGAGTAGGTGTGTAGGTAGGTAGGTAGGTAGGTAGGTAGGTAGGTAGGTAGGTAGGTAGGTAGGTAGGTATAGGTAGGGGTGTGTGTGTGTGTGTGTGTGCGTGCATGTGTGTGTGTGTGTTGTGTGTGTGTGTGTGTTTGTGTGTGCGTGTGTGCGTGTGTGCGTGTGTGCGTGTGTGCGTGTGTGCGTGTGTGCGTGTGTGTGTGTGTGTTTGTTTGTGTGTGCGTGTGTGTGTGTGTCTCTGGGTGTGTTTCTGTGTGTCTCTCTCTCTCTCTCTATGTCTTATATGTGTAGGCGTGTATGTGTGTAGGTGAGCAGGTGTGTGTTTGTGTTGTCTGTTGTCATGTGCGGGGGGTCGGGTTCCGACACTCCGAACACGTCCCCAGCTGCTTTTCCTTGTACTTTGTTTGTTGGCACGGTGAGCACTCCGTGTGCTTGGGTGGGTGTTGTCAGGTGTTTAAGGGCCTGCTGTATCCTACTAAAACTTGCTTGTTTGACTGCGGGGCGGGGGTCCTCTAAGCTTGTTGTCAATCCCTATCTTCAAGCTTGCAACGTGTAGGACCCTAAACCCTAATCCCCTGAATCCTGCAATGTAGGCGAGTTTAGCTTAAGGTGTTCGCGCAAAGAAGTTGCATTCTCGGCCGGTCATGTCCCACCTTCCTCTCCTCGGTACCCGGCGGTTCTCTCACTCCGGTGTTAGATCTAGCTCGGAACCTTGTTCCCAACTTACAAGGCGGGGAGCCTCTTGAAATCCCAAAAGGTCACTTTCCGATTTTGCGGAAGTTTGGGCATGAGTATCCTCGGAAAAGTGTAGATGGTTCCAACTTTCTGAAGTTGTCTGCAACTCGATGAGAACTCGCTCTGCTTTCAATTCTACTCCGTCGCTGCAGACGCAAAGCCGCTGAGGGCTTAGTCAGTAACTTAAGGTTTTGGATGGGATACCAAGACTTGTGCACAAATGCCATCTATCAGGGTTTAGGGTTCAGGGACTGTGCTTGAACCTGATGTTCGAGGTCTTCGAGGTTCCCAAACCTTAAACCTTAGTTGAAACCTTTGGTCAGATTATTGCGACTATGATCAGCACTGTGATTCTGTGATTGCCTCATGTCTGCAAGTAGTCTGCTATTTCCTTTCAACTGCTCTTAATTCTATCATTCGTGTCCTTTTTCTTACTGCTCAGGCTGCATGCCCGCTGCCGGGGCAGACCGTGGAGGATCCCCCAGATCGGATTTTCTAGGGCTAATTGGCTTTAGGCTTAGGCATTTTTAGGGCTAAGCCCTAAACCCTAAACCCCCCTAAACTCTCTAAACTCTAAACCCCAAAGGTTTAGGATGGGGTAGGAGGGTTTGAGGCTTCCCACGTGCCCCGACACCCACATCATCTGTGGGGATTTCCTAGGTTAGCCCTGCATTCGAAGCCCGTGGGGCCCACAAAAGCCGGCACCCTGAAACTCAAATAACTCAAATGGGGGAGTTCTCTAAACTAGGCTTCCTTTTAGGGTCCTTTTTATACAGGTGCGGTACAATTTTTGTGGCCGCAAAAGGGGTCCTACCATAACCTACCTAAACCTACTTCTTTTGTAGCTTCTTTTATAAACCCTAATCTGGAATTTATAGGGACCCTACGAACGAGTAGGTTTTGGTAGGTTCAGGTAGTCTAGAGAACTACCCAAGTCTCGAAACACTAAGCCCCAAACCCTAAACCCAAACGGCCCTAGTCTAGAGAGCTACCCAAGTCTCAAAACCCTAAACCCTAAACCCAACCGCCCTTAGTCTAGAGAACTACCCAAGCCTCGAAACCCTAAACATCATCGGCCCAGAAGCTGGACGCTGATCAGTCCCAGCCCGCTTCCCTGAAACGTAAAGCCTAAAGCCTTAAACCCTAAACCCCTAAACCCCTAGACCCTAAATCCTTTAAACCCTCAAACCTTTGCACCCCTTAACCGTTAAACCCTGAAACCCTTATAAGCCCGAACTCCTAAACCCTTCAACCCTTTAAACCCTTCAACTCTTGAACCCACACCTCTCGACCAAACCCCCGAATCCCAAGCTTCCATCTCTTGTTCCTCTCCTTCGTAGTCCCAGCCTCAATAGCCCTCCAGTCGGCCCTTTCGGGCATATAGGGTTTTTTCTTTTTGAGGTTTAGGGTATAGGGTTTTGGGTTTTGTTTTTAAGGTTCAGGGTGTAGGGGTTGGGGTTTTGTTTTTTAGGGTTTAGGGTTTTAAGCCTTGAACCCGGCCAGAAGCGCTGGTGTATGGAGCTTGGCTGAAGGGATTCAGGGCTCAGTGCAACGCAGCTCCTGCTCCCCCACCCCCCCCAACAAAAAAAAAGCAGGCCCTGAACCCAAATTCCTCTAGACCCTGGATAAGGCGCACGACATCGTAAGCCCTACAAAACCGAAACCCTAAACCCCGAAACCCTACTGTAAGCCCGAAACCCTGCAATGCGGGCTCGTCCTTGTTAAGTATATGAGTCCTTGTTAAGTAGGAGGAGGAAAAGCCCGAAACCCCTAAACCCTAGACCCTAAACCCTAGACCCTAAACCCGAAACCCTAGACCCTAAACCCGAAACCCTAAACCCCTGGACCCTAAACCCGAAACCCTAAACCCTAAACCCCTAGACCCTAAACCCTAACCCTGAAGGTAGGAGCCTCCGAGCACAGAGTCACGAGAGCCTCGGGCCCAGAAGCCTTGGAACCCGAAGCTTAAGTTAGACTTTGGGGCTCTTGTTGAGGAGTCTAGTTTAAATTTAGGGTTTAGGGTTTAGGAGTCTAGTCCAAGTTTAGGGTTTAGGGTTAAGGAGCCTAGTTTAAGTTCAGGGTTTAGGGTTTAGGGATTATTGTTCCTCCCTGGTTCTTAGCAAGGAATGCGAGAATGGATCCCTATGATAGTCCCTTGAGGTCCCTTATAGTAGTCCCAATAAACCCATTCCTCCATTCCCTACTAAGAACCAGAGAGCTTGTTAAGGAGTCTAGTTTCAGTTATCACAAGAAGGAATTGTCTGTAAGGTTAAGGCTTCTAGCTTTTCCCAGCAAAAAAATACCATAACCAGGAACTATTGTGCTTTACCATAGGTCCCAAGTATGCTAACTTATATGAAGCTGCTTAACAAGAGCCCAGTTCATTCCGGAGGGCACAGATGCGCCTTCGGTGCAAGCTTTGATTTGGGGCGGCGTTGCCAACCAGACAGACTCTTGGAACAAAGTTGGTTTCGGGTGTATATAGGCTTTAGAGTTTAGAAGGCGTGAAGGTAAGGTGTAAGGGTTTGACTCAAGCCCAGAAGCTATTTGGGGCATGAGATTTATTGTCTAATTATGTTGAAGGTGTGCGAGGCTTCTTACTAGTTTGTCTCTAGCCTGCTACGGACGGATAGCACTGTCAGGTTCTTGCAAGGCCAGCAATGGAGTCGCGGCATAAGATGCCAGACACAGAACACCCAGAAACTTCAGTTGTCAAACACTGCCAATGTGCCACACCCTAACCCTAAGCCCGTAAGCCCTTCATGATGGGATCGAGCGCATGAGTGGGTGCATTTTCCATTTCCTCTTTGCCGATCACAAACTTCGAGGTAGCTTTAGAGGCCTCGCACCAGCGTAGTGTTTACATGAGGCTTTAGGGCTTACATGACAATCATCAAAAGCGGAAGTTGAATTTGTTCGGAGTGTGCTTATCTTCGGCCCTGGCTTGCTACGAAGGGCTAGGAAGAACCGGAACAGGCTCCCCCCAAACTAGAGGACCCTGAAAACTACTATAGAGAAGACTAGAAGCAACTAGACAAAGCTGGATTTCTGCCGGCTTTAGGTGGGTCCGGTTTCTGCACAATACTGGGCTTTGGGAAAAGGTTGCGGCAGAATTGCAGGTGTTGAGTTCTGGAGCTATCTAGTTCCCGTATTCCTGCTCCACAGGACAAAGAGTCACCTCGTCAGAGAGACATCTTTTGCGGCTATAAGACAATCACTGAGTTTCTTGTCGGAGTGTACCTGGTGGACATGGCTGTCCTTGGTTGAACAGCATGAAAAACGCATTCTGGCAACGTATGTTGTTTTCCCCCAGATAACAGGCAAGGTAACCTGAAGACATGTGTTGACTCTGCATGCCTGATGACTTGTTTGTCCATCCTGGTGGGCTTTTCAACTAAACTCCACAGCTACGTCTAAGTAGCCAGACAGCACCGGCCTGATCTGCACTTAGGTATCTTAGGTGCCTTTCAGTTCCGCAGAACTTTGGAGCAAAGAAGCCTACGATCGAAGCCACTAGACGCCAAGCGTCTAAAGTCTAAAGCCCCGAAGTTCGTTCACAGTTACCCCCTTTACAAGGGAGCCTGAGAGGAACCTCTCTATATTTAGAGAGCTGTCCCTTATAGTAAGCTTATAGAAACCCTGTAGAGACCCTTTGATGGAGGAGACCGGTTCCTTTCCGATGGCCGATGTCCAGGCTCCTTCGAATCCAGACTCACGCGTGTGTCTTTAGGTTCCTAGCCCGCCAATGAGGCCTGAACCCTAAACCCTAAACCGTGAAGTAATGAACTAACACGTATGTTAGTCTGCAGAGTCCCAGTAGATTCAGTAGGTTTCCTTAGACACAGGTTCTAAGGTTCTGAGATGTCCTACTGTCGGAAGCCAAGCGGCCCTGTGCAGGCACTTTACGATGCTGGTGCCGGGCTGTACGGCATGTGCTGGTGCAAGTCTGTGCCAGGCTCCGCCCGTGCTCATTCTTCCAACACTCCACACCGACGGTATTGCTCAAGTTCACTCTTCGTCGCACCTGGCTTCTGCCTGTTTTATGTTGTAAGACGCTGACAGTTCGACAGTGAGCACGCGTGCAGCTGCCGTCGAAGGCGTGGTTGAATGGTCCAAAGCTGACGGTGGTTCGGTCATATATACCTCAGATGCGCAAATCCGTTCGAGCCGTTTGCTGCTTTTGCTTCGAACTACCGCCAACCCCGTTCGAAGGGCTTGCCGCTCTGTCGCAAATGCTTGGGTCCCTTTCTAGCTGTTTGATGTTCATGTCCCTTTGGAGCAGGTGCTCCTCTTGCTCAAATACTCGAGCGGTATGCTCCTTTCAATTGCTTTCATCCCTTTTGAGCAGCTGGCTCCTCCAACTCCAATGTGCTAGTCCGAACGGAGTAACTGCTATTTCTCCCGAAAGCTTTGCTGTCTTTTGCTCGATTGGCTTCCCTTTCTCAAACGCTTTGGTCCATTCGGAGCTGCTTGCTGGTTTTCCCAAGTGTTCGAATCCGTTTCGAGCACTTTGCTCCTCTGGTTCTCTGGCTCTGGCCCCTTTCGATTGGTTTGCTGCTCCCTATCAAATGCTCGGATCTCTTTCGAGCGTTTTGTTCCTGTTTCTCAAATACCGGAACCCTTTCTTTGTAAGCGGCGGACTCCTCCTTCCCAAAAGCTCTATAATCCCTTTCGAAGGATTTGCTTCTCAAGTCCCTTTCAAAAAACCTTCAGTTCCAACGAACGAAGGGGAGCTCAGGCCGTTTTTGTTCTGTCATCGGGGCGTTTTGGACTGTAGCTTGCTGGACTGTCTCTAGACCACAGATATCAGAAGCACAGACCACGTCCGACCTAAAAGCCCGAGCGCGTATGAACACAAAGAAAGAGCGTCTGTCACAGGGAGGCCCTGTGTGGACCTGGAGGAGTACGTCGTCCCAGCAGGCAGGGTGCGGGATGGCACTATTTGCCGTGAGAGTCGGCGGTTTCGGTTTGGCCTTGGGCTGTTACCACAACCGACCACAGGCTCTCCCTGTAAGAGCCCAATTATCGAGAGTTCTATATTCCGGTCCTGAGTTCTGCAAGTTTGCATCAGCTGGCCAAGGTACCAATAACTCCTCTACGCCACCTGCTTTGAAAGCCGCACACCAACGCGGTTTTGGAACAAGAACAGATTTGAAGCGAATCAGGTGATCGAGAGAAGCTTCCCAATGCAGAGCCCCATACCTCGAGCAAAAGAAAGCAACTTCAAACTTCAAGATCACACCTTCTTGGTCACTGGAGAGTAGCTCCATGAATTACTCATTGTTTAGGGCACCGCATTCCTGCTCGCCCCCGCAAGTAGGAAGCCCCGGGTACGCAGGTGAACCTTTCAGGCACCACATTGACCCCTCTACCTCAAACCGACTCCTTGAATTCATGGTCAACCCGAAGCTTACAATTACACTCAAAACTTTTCAGAAGCGCCGGAGGCTTGTTCGTCTTGGTCGGACCGTACCCACAGGAACTCACGAAGGTTTACATGGGCGACACTCTTCAGGCGGGGCTTTCGGGGTTTTGTTTTTGTGGCATCCAGCGATCTGCTCCATTTTCTTTGCACATGCCTGAACCCTAGACAACTGCATCATCAATTTTTTGGCTCGTGAGATAGCTTGAAACCGGATTTTCCTCGGCAGGCCAATCGTTCGTCACAACGAGCACGTACTGCTGCCACTAGTAATCACTAGTAGCCAGATGGCCTTATAGGTTTCCAGTCTCGCAGACATCCACCTTCGCAACACAAAGAACTACACCACAGCAGCACGCTGCCTACAAAGAAAATCGAAAACAAGAACAATTGCAACACTAGTCTGCCGATACGGTTGTCGAAGCGGCGAACGAGTAGCATGGCCAGCGGAAACTTGCCGAGCAAGCGGTTAGCGGCAGCAACAACAGCAGTAGCCATTATTCTGTTAGACTTATAGTTATATTATATAAATATAATATCAATTTTACAAGCCTAGGAAGCTCCCCAGAACAATGACAAATGACAAACGGTTAACCTGCTGCGTAAAGAGCAGATTGCCCACAGTGGCCAGGCTGATCTTCATGTGGATGGGGTCTAGTCCTTTCTCTCAAATCTGTAGCTTTCTGAAAATAGGGGACCCTAATATAGTACCCTAAATAGTAAGATACTTATTATAAGGACCCTAGAATAAGGTACCGCTTGTTTTCGGAGACTCCCAAATCTGTAGCAGGGTCTTAGCCACAATACGTGCCATGATGCTTCATTACAAGATTTGGGCAGTTTACGGCATCACCGAACAAATGTCTAAAGCACAAGCGCCGGCACGAGCAAACCCTACACCCAAAGCCCTTGGCAGCTATTGGCTTGATGACTGCCTGCCCATGCAGAATCATCGCAGCCCATAAACGATGACTACTCGTAAGCGTGTCTTACATCATCCGACTACGCACCAAGAGCCTCGCCTGGATTATCCGAGTACGAGTGCCGAAACCCTTGTATTTCTTGAATGTAAAGGTGCCAAGTCCGACGTGCCTCTACGGTTGATGTGGTTTAGAATGCAGGGTTAAGGCCACTGCTCGATAACCTGCAGGTTGCAATTGCAGGCACTGGCCTATCAGCAAAGGACAGGCTCGAGACGCCTGGCTTCTGATAGTCTCATCGTAGCAAAGGACCAACGACTAGCAACATAGGGGCCTTGATATTTTGGAATTAGAACAGGGTTTTAGGGGCTGATGCACTGCAACCATATTCCGGAACCCTAAACAATAGCACTGGTAGCTATTCCGACCCGCATACTCGTTCCTCCAAGCATGTAGATTAGGAACATACCTGCCTGACTTCTTGGACTCCCACGACAATCTCGGTGTCGGGGTTCTTTCTTCTTGGGATCCCACTTGGAGTGCATACAGTGAGGGTGCAACGATAGAGGACCGATGTATCTAGTCAGAACCAGTAGTAGTTGTTGGGTCACACTGTTTGCAAGGCATGCAAAGATGCTCACCCAACAAAAGCTGCACAGTCGGATGGGTTTGGAGGATCAAGAACCTGACAGGTCCAGGCGGTACGGTCCCCAAATTGCGGGAGGTGCACACCTCAACCCAACCGGCTTTTGAAGGCAACTATAGTGCACATGGGTGAGCCTTCAGACCTCGTGGTGCCTGAGCCGCTTCGAAAAACAGTTCTTGAACTGTCTTCTTCAATGTCATAAAAACGGAGGTCTGAAAGTTGCTACATTCCAAGCCTTGGCTATGTAAAATGATACGATCATCGAACTCCAAACCCCGAAGAGTTCAAGCCGAGTCTCTCAGGTTTCTTACGTCAAGGTTCTCGAAGGATTTAGTACCCATAGGCTCCATAGTAGTTCCTTTTTGTGGTTTGTATTTAGGATCCTATCAGGCAATCCCGAAAAGGAACTACCATGGAGCCTATGGGTAAGGTATCTGCAGGGATTCTGAAGGGGTGTTGCGAGTTTCCTCCACACCGCAAGCAATTTAAGACCGAGCTGACCGAGGATCAAACCGACCTGTGGCAGTTCCCAGAGTTACCTGGCGGCTTGCTTGCATTCGAAAGGTTTGCAGTCCGACATAAGTCTTATAGGGTTTTTTCGCTTAGACGGGCCGCGAGGGGCTCAATGATTCGATCAGGGTCTGAGGCATACCATAGGCTCCAAGAAATGGGCACTAGAGTGAGCATTTTTCATGAACTATGCAGTCCTTGACGTTTTCAGACAAAACTTGCTGGCTTTGGGTATATCGCCACCACACAGCCTAAGTACGCCTGCCAAGGCACTTGAAGAGTGGGTGGGGTGGTGGCAAGGAGTATACCATATTTCCCATAGTTTAGGGTCCTTGAGGTTATGCTAAGGATTTATATCATCAACCTTATGGATAGCGCACACACCCGCATGAACCCGGTCTGTCAATACGTCGAGGCCAAGAGAAAGCAACTAGCTGGCTCTTGAATGCAAGGCCTTCGTAGCTTTCGGCAACGGTTTAGGGTTTAGGGTCGGTAGACCCTCGTTTTTAGGCACGAAAGCAGTGAAATCTTAAACCCTCAACCATGCGGTTTAAAGGGCATATGTGCCATCCAGCGGAGATGGCTCCGGCCAGAGAGGGAACGCTCAAGTCATGCTCTCAAGGGTTCTAGGGTGTACGGCTTAGGGTCAGGGTTGAGGTGGAGATTTAGGACTTGCTGGCAGGCAGGGTCAGATGCAGCTGTCTGTTGCAAGCACTTCTCTCTAAGCCGCAATCCACAAGCCCAGATCCTGAACCTCAAAGGTCACCGAAACGACGGATGGTTACAACTTCGATTTCGGTGTGGTGGCGCGACTGCAAAGCGGGTGGAGGATGAAAGGGTGAACTTCTAAACGAGCAGCGCAGGATAATGGCTTGTGCCGAATCTGCTGGGCATGTAGGAATGCTATATAGTACTGCTATACTCCCAAACCTTATAAAACCTGTTGTGATATGTCAGAGCACCGCTCCCTGTTGCGGGCATGTGAACATCACCTGTCCTTCAGTCGGGTAGGCATTCTCGGGATTCCTGGTCAATGGACAAAGGTCCCGGGAGGTGGGCTCAGGGTTTAGAGATAGCGGGGTTTGAGCAGGGTTTAGGGTTTGGGGTTTAGGAGATAACGGGTTTGAGCAGGCTCTATAGGACGTGACACGAACAAATTGCAGAACTGGGACTTGCACGCACAACAGCTGCTTGGAACAAACGGCAGAAGGAAGAACTTGTTGTGCTGAAGCGTGCAGCAATGCACCTGCACCACAGCGATAGAACTGCAGCTGATTGCCACCAGCAAAAAAAAACACAGGCTTGAGCTTGCGTCTGTGGTCTCTGGAGATCAACTTCACATGAAACAGTCTGGCCTTTTAGAAAGCCTACGCTTGACATCCTCCGGTGTCATTTCTTCGCATGCTAGACTCTAGACCACAGGACTGCCGAACCCATGAGAGCCCTCGACCCCGACCTTGATTTAAGGCTTTAAGGCGCAGGCTGCAGATCTCCAGTAGTCGTAGGTAGTATTAGGGAGACCCCTTAAAAGGGGGACCCTTCTTAACCTTACTTCTGGCTCTCTCGAAAAGGGACCTTACTGAGAGGGTCCATATCCCCCAAGGGTCCCCCTAATCCTAACTCCGAAGTAAGCACGCAAGGCCCCCAGTTCTGAACCTCTACTCTCAAGCGAGAGCCACCGGAGCCTAGGACTTGAATCACTTCCCCCTCTTTTGATACTGAGGGGGATAGGATTAAGTAGGATAAATCCTGTAAATTAGGGGATAGGAATTATCTATAAATCCTGAACTTTCTTACACCCCCCCCGATTGCTAAGCCCAAGAGCATATACCCTAAACCTTAAACCCCTAACCTGAACCTCGAAAGCCATGTACCCGAGTGGCAAGGTCCAGGAGCAAAGCATACCACCAGGAGTCGCTAGCTCCGTCGACTTTGAGGGCTTGCCTGGGTTTTCTTGTTTTGACAACTTCGAGTACCTGCACATAGGTTTCGGGCATCGGGTTTAGGATTCTGGCTGGTTCGGGGTTTAGGAAGTTTACTTAAGTTAGGGATCTTTCGCAAAAAAAGAGGGCTTCCTAATAATTATGGGATACTTCTTCAAGTAGGTTCCTTAACCAGAGGCAGCTTCGGGTCTTTTCGGTAAGGATACGAGTCGTAGGGTTCAGGACCTCCCTAAACCCGAAATCCTAAACCCGACCCAAAACCCAAAACCCTAAACCCCCGTAGCTATTTTGGCTCAAGCGCGGGAAAGGCTCAAAGTTCGGTGGTGGTAGTTGCTTCGATAGCATCCTGGTGCGGGTGTGGTCCTTGGCAATACCATCAAGTGGGGTGGCATCCCAGCGTCCGAGTTGCCCAAAGACACGAAGCTGTGGCTGCAGCAACAATTCAAGGCGCTTCCAAATTACTTTGAAGCTGTTGTCCTTGCGGGAAAGTCCGACTTCCAATTTGCCAATCAAGTCCTTCCAGCCACGGTGGAGAGCGAACTCGACAGCCCCAGTTGCTCTGAGGTTGACTTGCCGCCGGCATCATCAGCACAAGCAGAGGCAAGCTGGCAACCATTCATGCTGAGCCGGACCCGAAGCTGGAGGTGCAGAAGGAGCTCAAGGAGGAGCTTCCAACCCTGCTGGAGGCAGTTCCTGCATTTGGGACAAAACGACCAGTTCCAGAACGTCAAGCATCTCCGTTCCTCAAGGAGAATATGCCCGACGACACGGAGCCTGTCTAGTTCAATGGCACCGTTAGCAAGACGAAGCTTCGCAAGACCTGCAAGGCCTTTGGCTTGCAGAACAAGGGATGCAAAGCAAAGCTGGTCGATCGCCTGGTTGAGCAAGAAGCTCTGCAGAAGAAAGTCAGCGCCAAGTATCCTGAGCAGAGGTTCGAAGTTGTGCTGTCCGAGTGCAAGAAGGCTCAGATTGGGGTGGAGCGAAAGCGAACATTGGAGGCCAAGGATTTCTTCGGCTACTGGGGCGTGGCTTGACTACGATGCGTGACGCTGCGTTCTTGTACATAGTCCAGAGCGGCAAAGGTTTCAAGTATTTGCTGCCATCTTCCGCACATGCTGGATGACTTCCTGGGACCGGTCAAGCCCTCCTCCTCGTCTTTTCTTCATATGTAGCTTGAACTAAAGCTCCCCCGCGAAGTTGGCGCCCGCATGCCACACGTGGCCAGACTTGGCCAGATCGATACTCTTGTTGCTCAGGTAGCAAAAGCGATCGACGGCGTTTGTCGTTGTAGATCCGGAAGTCCATTATGGCAACGTTACAGCATAATATTGTCAAAGCGCCCAAGTTGTATCACTGGTTCGCGCGTTCAAGTACGAGCGAACTTTGTCACTGAGTTCGACGTATATACGCGGCTTTATACCGCGTGGATTTGGGACTTGCTGAGTCTTTCATGGGCACCACCTGGCCTAAAAAACCATTAGGTGGATCGGGACATGCTGGACAGAGGGCCTCGCGTGAAAAACGTCCAGATATGTCTGTCGTTGAGTGGAGATGAGCGCACAAGTGAAGACACAGTTTTGGATGCATCGCTGGTCTGAGTGACTGCTTAGCATGGCTGGGCGCAAAGGTTGTATGTAAGATACAACGTAGATGATCCCAAGCCTCTGTCTGTGTTTTGGACTTGGTCTTGAATGCATGTGCATGTGCATGTGGATGCTCGGCTGAATGTGCATGCTGTAATTTGTTTAATTTGTTGCACTGTGCATGTGATCAGGCCTTGCATGATGGAATAATACACACGTACCTTGCATGTCAAACAGCCGTGGAATAAAGAGGATCCTGGCATGAGGTGAGGCAGTTCATTTCGATCGATTGGCCGCTCGCTTCGGAGGATCGCTGGAAGTGTTGCATGAGTCTCTGCTGTGCAGCTATTGAGTAACTGAGCTCGAGCATTTTGGAACACCTCGACCCTAGCAGCCATGGAGGCCACACAAGCCTTTCTGGAGACCCCGGACTGGAGCACATGCACTACAGATGGTGCTGAAGTGGTCGAATTCGCTGCAAGAAGAGTGGCTTCCCTTCCTGGCTCTTTGTGGGGTCTTTTGGTTGGTGTTGCTGGTGCAGAGCCTTCAAGCTCGCACCCTTCTGGCACGCACCATGGCGGCCGTGCTTGAGGTGGATGCGAGGCTACAGCAACTGGAGGCCGAAGTACTGCAGTGGCGAACAACTGCCCGAATGATGCAAGATGCAGACTCGATGGGTGGTGCAATGTCGCAGGCAGAATTCGACCTGCAAGCCCAATTCACCAATGCATGCGAGGATGTGCGGGGGATAACGATGACGGCTCAACATGCATGCGACTGGATGGGGTCGGCCCTCAAGCTTATCTACAAGCAGCAAGATGAGCTGGGAGACCTAACGCGGTCGCACATCGCACTCAGCAAGGCGGTTCACAAACTGCTGGACGATGTTTCTGCTGGTCGTGCTGGAAGCGGGGCACAAGCAGGGGCTATTCCAACTTCATGGGTGCAAGGCACCTTCGGTCAAGGCCATGAAGGACTTGAAGGAAATGGTTGAGTCGGGGCTCAACGGTGTAAATCAGCAGCTGGCTGACCAGGACCTCACGCCTTTCAGGACGACGCTCAAGGACTTCTTTATCCGTTTGGAGGACGGCTGTGAGAAGCTTACTAAGGGCTTGGAAGTGCTGAAGCAAGGGCCACCTGCCAAGTCTGCGGACCCCCGCTTTTGGATGCGATCTCGGCGGTGAAAACAGCGGTGGAGCGCTGTACGCAACAGGCCGAGAAGGTGGAGCAGATCACCAGAGCCAAGACTACCAGCATTTGCGAGGAGGTGGGCCTGCTCAAGGGGCAAGGCAGCCAACTGCATAAAGACGGACATGGCTTGATGAAGAGCCTGGAAAAGAAGATGGAGCACCAATCAGCAGTGGCACAGATGGGGCCGCCTTTGGGAGGCCGCCAGTGGACTCGGCTGGGACTACAAGGCTCCTGGATACGTCGCTCTCGCAGGGCGAACTGTTGAAAGAGCTGGAAGGCCATATGGGCCAGCTTCGTGAGGCTCAAGATGAGGTGCTCCAGCTGACGAAGGAAGTCAGAGATCGCCAACCGGAGCGAGCACCATACCGTGAGCCACCACGATCCTCGCAGCCTGCTCCTGAACCGGAAATTCGTGGAACCTCCCAAGTCATTGACTTGCAGTCTCGCATCCCACTAGTGAGGCCGATCTTTTCGCACGCTGGTGGCTTGGGTGCGGGTTTCGCGACAGTCACTTATAGTGACGGCACCCGTGCAGTGATTCGTGAGGATGAGATCCGGGCCTTCACAGGTTGATTTTACTCACTAGCTTGTGGGCTAATCCCTATGCTTGTGTTTATCCTGCCGATCGTGATGTGAAGTGCCCGGATTCCTCAGGCTGAACAGAACATACTCACGTTACACAGCCCTTCTTCCTCTATTTAGTTTGCTCGGACGCTGCTGTGGGACGTGCATGATAGTACTTGTGCAGCACATGTAATTTTTGCATGCCGGAATTCCTGAATGCTTGAATTTGTGTTCGACAATTTTAGTTTGAATTCAACTGTGCTTGTTTGAACCCACGCTTTCGTGTTGTTGCATGTGCCTGCTGAATTTAAAGCATGCCTGCATGTATGCTAGCTGCTGCAGCGCGGCTAATCGAATTCGGAAAGCATGACTGTACTCGACACCAGCTTTGGCCTGGCACGATGCATTCCCAGCACAACGCCTACAGTTTCCCCTGCATGAGTGCTGCACTTGGAATTCGCAAGAACAGAGCATGCATCCGCAGGACGTTGACAGTCGAGCAACAGGTGCCTGTAGTCAGTTGAGGTTGAGAGGGATCCGGGATCCAGGGTCTCTGTCCATGTCAGTGTTGGGAGCTTCTCTTTGAGTAGTAGCTGGCGTCGAACTTCTGAGCTGTCCCTGTGCGTGCAGGTCATTTGTAGGGAGCTGAGCTCGTATCCCTGGGCGGTCTTTTGATGTCATGCCAGGCCTGAGCGAGTGAGCGAGTGAGACCGGGGTGGGAATACAGGCTCCGCCTTGGGAAAACCGATGATGCTGCACGCGGTCTCCCTCCCACTCAGGTCGATGATGGCTGATGTTGCCGTGCCTCTACCGAGCTTGAGGGAACACTGAAACCGAATCACCTCGCCTATTGCCTTGCTAGTGCTTAAGCCCTGACCCTCCGCATTGCTCACAGCCATGACTTTTGGCAATGTTCGGGACGATTCTTAGGAAGAAAAGAGCCTGAAAATTGTTGAAGAACCAGAAGACCTACATTTTTTAAGGAACTACATATAGAAACTTTAAATAAGGAACCCTAAACCGGTAGGTCTTCTCGGTTACAAGGTAGGGCCAATAATTAAAAGGGTCATTTGCCCAGAGAGCCCAATACCCCTTAATTAAGGAATATACCTTAAATCATAATATTAAGGCCCCTATAATTTAAGATATATTCCTTAATTAAGGGGTATTGGGTGCTCTGGCTGGTCCCCAAGGATGGCTGTGAAGTTCATGGGGCCGAGGTCCCTTACTTGTAGGTTGTAAGGTTCTCTAGGTGTAGTCCTGTGGGCCATCCTGTAGTTCCCCTACGACTATTTTTTCGGAGGCTTTCAAGGGCCAGCCTATAGGGTTATAGTCAGTGGAGGGAACTGCCAGCAGGAGAGTACAACCTCTGCTGGTGCCGCGAGTACTCGACAGAGATGGCGTGCAATCTGCCAGCTACTTCGGCTGGGACTTGGGCTTTAGAGGAGTTAAACCCTAAACCTTAACCCCTAAACCCTAAACCTTAAACCCTAAACCCTAAAAGGGTTCATGGTTTCAGGTTTCAGGTCTAAGGCTTTGAGGGGCTTAAGGTTAACGCGGTTGAGGGTTTAGGGCTTGAAGTTTCAGGTTCAGGGCTAGGGCAACTTAAAAGTTAAGGTTTGAGGGTTCTTGATCCGCAAAGCCCTGGCTTCGGGGTTCTGGATTCGTCCAGACGTCTTCAGCTCGAGGCACCTTTCGCTTTGCACGGCTTCAGGGTCCTAGAGGCTTTCCAGTGTCAGGGTCGAGTGTTTGCAGCTAGACCCTCAGCCCTGAACCCCGAAGTTCACAGTCCGAAGGCCCCAAATTTGAACACTTAGAGGCTTGGCCGAAGCCCTGAACGTTGAACCCCACCAGCCCACGCGACAAGTAGCTGTAGCGGAAAGCCCGAAATCACGTGCCTAGAAGCCTCCCGAACGCAAGGATCACTGGAGGCTGGTCGGCGACATTACGGTGATCTGCACAGGTGGGGTGAGTCCCACTCTTTACGGTTCAGATTGCAAAGTTCGGGGCCTGATGACAGAAGGCTGTTTGGGACCTGACATCTCTAGAGCCTATACGCCTGTCTATGCATGGTATGATCGAACCTTCTTACGCAGTGGGAACCATTCGGATTCAGCCGCTGAGGCAGAGAGAAACAGAGAGAGTCTTCTCATTCTTCTTATTGTGGTCATTCACGCACGAAATGCGAATTCGGAGAAGACTGTCACTTGAGACAATTGAAGGACAAGGCCGTGATAGAAGGATTGAGTGCGTCCAGAACAGAGTCTAGGTAGTGGAGTTTAGAGATTACGGCCCACTTACATCGGACATGATATAGAAGCGTAAATAACCACTAGTGCCATTTCTGTTCTAATCAATGATGCCCTACACACCTAAACCCTTCTAACAACCCGTACAGAAACCTTTCAAGGAACCCTATTCCACGGCAGCTAGCTATTAAGCCCCTTCTGATACGGGTGTAGAGTTTAGGGTTTAGGATCAGTCGACAAATCGCCACGTGGAACCAGGCGTTGCCTTTAAGGCAAAGATGACAGTGGTCTTGATCATCAGTGGGTTTCCTGCATAAACCCATTTTTTCGCAGGTGTACATGTGTATGCATGTATGTAT